TTCCAGCTCTTAAGAGCTCTAACTCTATGCTATAGCGTGGCCCCCTGCCCTGCACACCCCCTCTTCTAGCCAGGGATTCTGACATGGTTGGAAGGGGGGTGGTTCAAGGGAGAAGAGAATCTGAGATAAGATAGGGCTGCTGTGCTGCTTACCGTCCATTTTATATCGGAGATGGCAAATCAGTTGTCCTGAGTAGAGAACAGTCCTGAAGCTCGCTGGGAAAGTGCCGCGATTGTTAGCCACGTCTGTCACGGGCAGGAGAGGAGGGTGTGATTTTTGCCCCGCTAACCCCAGCTCTGCTTTTTCACTGCCTCTGATTCAGCGGGTCCTTGGTTATCTCTGCTCTCTCCATCTCAGGAGCTCCAGGGAAGCCGGGGCCCTTCGGGAGGGCTGGAATGCCTGGGCAGAGCGTGAGAGTGGGCTACACCTTGGTGAAGCACAGCCAGTCAGAACAGGTGCCCCTGTGCCCCGTTGGAATGAGCCAGCTGTGGGTGGGTTATAGCCTGCTGTTCGTGGAGGGGCAGGAGAAAGCCCACAACCAGGACCTGGGTAGGTACCGGCTCGCACATCCAGCCCTGGCCCTCTGTCCCCACAAGGACCAGGAGCCACACTCCTCGCTCCTCCCAACCCTTGGTGGGCCCATGTTGGGTAGTGGGTTACAAGCCCCAGCTCTGGAGTCAGGCAGATCTGGGTTCAAACCCCAGCTCTGCGGCTCACTCTGGACACGTTATTCAGCCCGTCTAAGCTTCCGCCTCCTTCTCAGTGGAGCAAGCCTAATTCTAGCACTTGTCCCATAGGGTAGGCTAAGGATTACAGGAATCACCCATGTAAAATGCTTAGAACAACGTCTGACACGTATTAAGCATCCATTAAACGTTAGCGATCAGTAGTAGTAATAATGATATGACCTGCCGGCAACAATGATTACCCAAGACTTAATTGAATTGTCTTCAGGTGCGTGTTTCAGAGAAACGCAGGCTCACTCTATTAAATGCTGATTTGACAAAGCAGACTAATTAGGGAGTCATCATTCAGTTTCTAAAAAGATTCTTTTCATTATCAAACTTCCCTGGTGCATAGAAAATAGACTTCAGTGTGTGTACAGTGGTCCGGGGTAGGAAGGAAAGGCGTCCCTGCTCTGCTACAAGCAGTTGGATGTGAACCCAAACCACCATCTAGTCCAGTTGTAGTGGCTCCAGGGACAATCGCAGCCCTGACCCTCAGCCAGAACTTACCTGCCCCTGCCCACCTTCTCTCCTTGCAGGGTTTGCTGGCTCCTGCCTGCCCCGCTTCAGCACCATGCCCTTCATCTACTGCAACATCAACGAAGTGTGCCACTATGCCCGACGCAACGATAAATCCTACTGGCTCTCCACCACCGCGCCCATCCCCATGATGCCCGTCGGCCAGACACAGATTCCCCCGTACATCAGCCGCTGCTCTGTGTGTGAGGCGCCCTCACAAGCCATTGCTGTGCACAGCCAGGACATCACCATCCCGCAGTGCCCCACGGGCTGGCGCAGCCTCTGGATTGGGTACTCCTTCCTCATGGTAAGGTCCCGCACCGCCCTCTCCACCAGGATGAAGGCCGAGGGCAGGGAGCGCTGGGAGGGAAATTCTGAAATCGAGTGCTGAGGGAGCCCTGTGACTCGAGGGCCGGGACGTTAGGCCAAATACGAGGCCTACTTGTTCTCGGCAGGTAACAAACACTAAATGGCACCCTAGAGGGTATGGTACAGATTGCAGTAGAAGTTCCAACGAAGGTGACTTCAGAGCCAGAGCTGTTAAAAGGTCCGCTGGGGGGGAAGGGCCCATGCATGGTCTAACGACCTTGTGGACTATTCCGTGCTCTCTCCCTTCTCTGGAGCACACCACCAAGGGCTTGGGGCAGACGGAGGGCTCTGAGAAGAACTGCATCCTGAGCCCTGTTGGCAGTTTCCTTAATTCAGCCTCTCTCAGATTTGTCAGTGGAAATGTTCGGGGGGCACCTAACACACCTTGGACTCGGCGGGACGGCAGCCGTGGGTTAGGAGGGCCCTAGGGAGCTTGGAGGGGGCGCTCCTGGCTCTGAGGCTGAGACAAGGGAGGATGAGCGCCCCCGGTCCTAAAACATAGCTATTGGTCCGCTGGCCAGACAGGGGGCCTGAGCCAAGAGACCAGAGCTGAGAGACGGAGCAGCGGAGTCCATCACCTCCCAAGGTGACCAGTTCACAGCCACCGCCCATCTGTTTCAGCACACGGCCGCCGGCGCTGAGGGCGGGGGCCAGTCCCTGGTCTCCCCTGGCTCCTGCCTAGAGGATTTCCGAGCCACTCCTTTCATCGAGTGCAGTGGTGCCCGGGGCACCTGCCACTACTTTGCCAACAAGTACAGTTTCTGGCTGACGACGGTGGAAGAGGAGAGGGAGCAGTTCGGGGAGGAGCCTGTATCTGAGACGCTGAAAGCCGGGCAGCTCCACACCCGGGTCAGCCGCTGCCAGGTGTGTATGAAAAGCGTGTAGGGTGGCACCTGCCACTCTGCCCCTTGCCCTCCCCTGCCCCGCACAACGGTCACCTCACACACCTGAACGGTCTGAAGAAGGAAGGCCAAGCCCTTTTGCCCATCTGTCAAGTTGTACATTGGAGTCTCGTTGGGGCTGGACTACTGGACACTGGTCACCTCCACCCTCAGGCCCCATGGGGTGAGCCCACCCTGCTGAGATCTGCTGTCCCCTTTCGGTGCTACAGTTTGGTTGGGATGTTTGTGTGACTCTTCATGGCTACCTCAGAAAGACCTGCTGGGCCACCACTTTCTTAGAATGCTAGCTTTCCTCACTCTCTTGATCAGAAAGCTCTTCGTGATGATAGCTAAAGGAGTCATTTCACTATGTCCAGAGGTCACCGCACATCATTTGGCTTAAACTAGAACCCAGTGTTTTCACATGAAAAAAATTTCTCTGGCTCAGCATTATGGATGGCTCAAGCCTGCACAGGGCAAGCTCTCAACTCTTCCCAGAGACCCACTGTGTCTAGGCAGGCAGCAGAGCTGGAATGAGGTGCCAGCCAGTGTCCCGGGGTGAGCTCTGACCCCTTCGAGAGTGAGCACGACTGGGCCCCAGACTACTTAGGGACGCTGGAAGACCAGCAGCCGAGAGGTGCTCAGGAACTTCACATGGTCGTCGACAAATCACTTCCTCCTTGCCGGCTCCCTCCCCAGCCACAGGCAGCAGGCTTGGCCTGGTTCAGAGTAGAGCAGAGGATGCACCAAATGTGGTCAGACCCATAAAGGGAAATGAGAACCGCAGCCCCTTCTCCCGGGCCGGGGGGAGAGGGGAGGATGGGTAAGGAGGTGTGAAGTTTGCTTTTGACTCCAGGAACAAAAAGGAAAATCCCTTGTCCCAATTTCTCAGAAGCCCCTGTTTATTCCAAATGCCATTCAGATGTGTGCAGTGTGGCAACTCGACACTGCAGTGTTTGTTGGTTCCTTCGCATTTTGAGGCTGTGAGAGACTTTCCATTAAAATGTCCATCCAATTGTTCTTTCACAGGTGGCCTGTTAAACCATTTTGATGATACGTTTTTAAAGCCTCATAAAAATCTAGCACAGTCCTCTCTTTAGCAGTTAGCAGACCCAAAGCAAGCCTGAGTAGACCGTAAAGTATATTCTGTTTAGGGGGATTTGTTTTAACCATTTCCTTTAATTATCAGTTTCCCAGAACACTTAGCTATGTTGACATGAGGCAGTTCCTTCCAGGTGATTCTGTTTCCTTAAATATTACGTAAGCTGTGCCAACACAGACAAAGCATAATCAGTATAATCTGAAGTACTGTTACCCTCACCTCCTCAGTAATAAGCATGGTGTCAGCTTTTGTACATTGCAAATAAAAGGAATCCAATATGAACATTTGACTCCTTTGACATTCTTTCTTTGATGAAAACTTTTCTAAAGTCCATCTCACTGAAATTCATAAGCCCCCCTCAGAGCCAAGGGGGTTCCTGTCACTGCAAGTCGAGCTTTATAACAAAACACTGAGACACGGAAAAATACAATTAAAGTCAAGGGTCGATAATGTCTTCCAACAGGCAACAAATCCACAACATGCTTCAAGAGAAGCCTACAACTGTTTTTAGCCCCATCACACGCTAGAGTTCAAGAAAGGAATTTCCATATTTCTGGGGCCTCAGGATCATTTACAGATAAATCAAAAGCAGTAGAGAAATTTTAGGGCCTCCCTGGTGGCGCAGTGGTTGAGAGTCCGCCTGCCGATGCAGGGGACACGGGTTCGTGCCCCGGTCCGGGAGGATCCCAGGTGCCACAGGGCGGCTGGGCACGTGAGCCATGGCCACTGAGCCTGCGCGTCCGGAGCCTGTGCTCCGCGACGGGAGAGGCCACAACAGTGAGAGGTCCGCATACCGGAAAAAAAAAAAAAAATAGAGAAATTTTAGTCATTAAAACCAAATCTAAGATATATGTGCATATATTTGTATATGCATAAAATATATCCTCTGGAAGGATAAAGAAGAAATTAATAACATTGGGAGTGTTCAGGAAAGAGAACTGACCTGTGGGAGGGAGAGACATTTCACTGAATACCATTTTGCACCTTTCGAATTCTGAGCAGCTGGAATATATTATCTACTGGAAAAGAAAAAAATGGAATCTAAGGAAACAAGTGTTCAAATATTCCTAAATATACCACACAAAAAAAACCCACCTTGGTTTGGTGCTAGCTAGCTTTCAAACCGCAGTTGCTGGCCTTCCTGGGGGCTTGGTTGAGCATGGAGGCGAAACGCATAGGTTAAGAAGACAAGGAGAGGAAAAGGGGAAGACAGCACTGGGACATGAGGTGCATCCACACAGGAGAGTGGTTAGCAAAGCCAATTTGACGAATATGTGCTTTCAGATTTAGTATGTTGCTTGCTAGTCCTGAAATGGTTTGGAATTTTATTTGATGATGCACAGATTAATGTCACCACATGAATAATTCTCTCCAGTTATGACTGTCAAGCAAAATGGAGTCAGATTCAAACACAATTTTTAATTTCCCAAACAAAAATCAACAATTTAAGTCTGTGATTAGCAAACTGCAGCCTGTGGGCTAAATCCAGCCCTCTGCCTGTTTTTGTAAATAAAGTTTCATTGGATTACGGCCAGGCTCATGTGCATGCACATTGTCTATGGCTGTCTTGGGGTTTCACCAGCAGAGATGAGTAGCTGTGGCAGACACTATGTGGTCTTCAGAGCCTAAAACATTTCCTATCTGACCCTTGACAGAAAAAGTTTGCAGACCCCTGATTTAAGTGATAATGATTTAAGGACAGGGTGACCATCTGACAAAAGTATCAGTAAAGATGGGGACAGTGACCCATCAAATAGTTAAGGTTCTCTCAAATAGGAAGGAGATCAATAAGTATACATTTGATGTAATGTCTTTTTGACACACTTTTTGAGATCAATTGTAATTATTTAAACACATATTCAAATAATTTAACAAGAACTTTTTTTCCCTGATACGATTATCACTTTATTATTAGAGCAAGAGAACAGATTGCTTCTTAGTATTTAGCCCAGAGAGGTCAAACCTGAAAGGGTGAAGAAGCATAGGGTAACCATCTCTCATCTGCTGGTGCTGGAAGCAAGGTGGGAGTTGCTGTCTATCTTCCAGACATCCACCTCCTCATTTCAGTAGCTGAAGATTCGCTGTGGCCATGTAAGAAGCTGGGAAGCGCAAGAGACGACTCCTAATCTTTCTGCTCCTAGATTCCATGATTGTTTTAGTTCTTCCTGGGGAAGGGGTATATTGTTCACTTGTTTGTTTTTTTCTGAGAAAAGGTGATTGGCTCAGTCATGATTGCTATCAAGTTTGTATGCTGTTGGCATATCAGGCACTTGCTGACTAGAAAAGTTTTATGTGATGAGTTCATGTTCTTCTGGTGCCAGCTGGAAGGCAGATCTCCAAGGTGAGTTCCCACTATTCTATATGCTCAGAATCTCGAAATCTTCCTCCAGGTCAAACTCCTCTAGTTGTTCAGTAGAGTCGATGAATTCTATCACGATACAGAAAAGAGGAAGAAAAAAGCTTGACACTTTGGCTCAAGCGGTCAGTAAGTTACTCAGTAGTTAAGACCATGCATTTTTAATTGCTTTGCCACAGAAGGGTTTGTGTAGAGGAGACTTATAGGTGGGACCACTGCTGAGTATTAGCAATTCTCTATAAAGAATCAAAATAGGTTTAAGGGCCAAGATGTGGGAGTAGAAAGACCCAGAGCTCATCTGCACTCATGAGCACACCAAAATCACAACTATCTGCAGAACAACCATTGATGAAAAAGACTGGAACCCACCAGAGAAGATCTTCTACAACTGAAGTCATAAAGAAGGATCCACAACATGACGGGTAGGAGGGGCAGACTCGCGATATAATCAAATCCCATGCCCCCAGGGTGGGCGACCCACAAACTGGAGAATAATTATATCACAGAAGTTCTCCCACAGGAGTGAGAGTTCTGAGCCCCACATGAGGCTCCCCAGCCTGGGGGTCTGGCACTGGGGGGAGCAGCCCCCAGAGCATTTGGCTTTGAAGGCCAGTGGGGCTTTACTGCAGGAACCCCACAGGACTGGGGGAAATACAGACTACACCCTTAAAGGGCGCACACAAAAATCTCACGTGCACTGGGACCCAGGACAAAAGCAGTGATTTGATAGGAGCCTAGGCCAGACCTATCTGCTGGGCCTGGAGACTCTCCTGGAGAGGCGGGGGTGGGGTGGCTGAAGCTCACCTGGGGGACATACACCCTGGTGGCAGACATACTGGGGAACATTCAACTACATGAACACTCCCGGTGGCTGACATGTTGGATCATTAGTGCCGAGACCTGGCCCCACCGGACAGCCTATAGGCTCCAGTGCTGGGACACCTCAGGCCAAACACCCAATTGAGCAGAGACACAGCCCCACCCATCAGCAGACAGGCTGCCTAAAGAAGTCCTGACCCACGGCCTCTAGACAAGCCCCTAGACATGGCCCTGCCCATCTGAGGGCCAAGACCCAGCTCCACCCACCAGTGGGCAGGCCCTGGCCCCTCCCACAAGGAAGCCTGAACAAGACTCTAAAGCAGGCTCATCCACCAGGGGGCAGACACCAGAAGCAAGAAAACTACAATCCCACAACACAGGCCAGAGACCCTATCCTGGGACCAGCTGGCCCCTGACCCTGCCAACTAGCAGGCCACTGCAACCTCAGGGACACCCCAGGCCCCATACCCAACTGTATCAGAAACCAGCCCCCCCTTACCAGTGATCTGAAATGAGCTCTGGGATCCCTGGGCCCAGAAGCCACACTCCAGGAAACAGCTCTGCCTGCCAGTAATCCAGCACTAACCCCTGCCAGTAGTTGGGCAACAGCCCCAGAGGCTCCGGAACCCTGACTCTGGCCACCAGTGAGCCAGCACTAGCTCCAGGGCCCCCTTGGATTCCACAACCAGCCACCTCGTGACCAGGCCCCACTAAACAGCAACCAGCAGCATCTGCACAAGGCAGGGCCTGGCAACCAACCAGACTAGAAGCCAACTAAGCCTAGCAGACCACCCACATAGTCAGCCCGCCACAACAGAAGGAACCAAACAGCCCTCTTAGGGGGAACACCTAGAGCATATAGCTTGGGTGACAAGAGAGGAGTGCACTGCTGGAACACATAGGATGCCTCCTACAGAGGGCCACTTCTCCAAGGTTGAGAAACGTAACTAACCTACCACAGACATAAAAATACAGATAGCAACTTAGACAAAATGAGGCGGCAGAGGAATAGGTTCCAGACAAAGGAACAAGATAAAACCCCAGAAAAAGAACTAAGTGAAGCGGAGATAGGCAATCTACCCAAGAAAGAGTTCAGAGTAATGGTCGTAAAGATGATCAAAGAACTCGGGAGGAGAATGGATGCACAGAATGAGAGGCTAGTTTTTAACAGAGAAAATACAAAGAACAACCAAACGGAGATGGAGAGTACAATAACCGAAATGAAAAATACACTAGAAGGAATCAATAGTAGACCAAATGATACAGAAGAATGCACCAGTGTGCACGAAGACAGAGTAGTGGAAACCACCGCAGCTGAACAGAAAAAAGAGAAAAAAGAATGAAAAGAAATGAGGACAGTTTAAGAGATCTCTGGGACAACACCAAGTGCACTAATATTTGCATTATAGGGGTCCCAGAAGGAGGAGAGAGAGAGAAAGGGCCTGAGAAAATATTTGAAGAGATAATAGCTAAAAAATTCCCTAACCTGGGAAAGGAAACAGGCACCCAAGTCCAAGAAGCACAGAGAGTCCCATATAGGATGAACGCAAAGAGAAACCCACCAAGACACACTGTAATCAAACTTACAAAAATTAAAGATAAAGAGAGAATACTAAAAGCAGCAAGAGAAAAGCAACAAATAATATACAAGGGAACCCCCATAAGGCTATCAGCTGATTTTTCAGCAGAAACTCTACAGGCCAGAAGGGAGTGGCACAGTATATTTAAAGTGATGAAAAGGAAAAACCTACAACCAAGAATACTCTACCTAGCAAGTCTCTCCTTAAGATTTGATGGAGAAGTCAAAAGCTTTACAGACAAGCAAAAGCTAAACGAATTCAGCACCACCAAACCAGCTTTACAATAAATATTAAAGGAACTTCTCTGGGTGAAAAAGAAAAGGCCACAACCAGAAACAAGAAAATTATAAAATGAAAAAGCTCACCAGTAAAGACAAATAAAGGTAGTATATCATACACAGACAAAACTAGTAGGGAGGTTAAAAGACAAAACTTGTAAAGTCACCTGTATCCACAATAAGCAGTTAAAGGATACAGAAAACAATCAGATGTAAAATATGATATCAAAAACTGTAATTGTGAGCAGAGGAGAGTACAAATACAGGGTATTTGAAATGCACTTGAAATTAAGAGATCAGCAACTTAAACAATCACATTTATATATAGACTGTTATACAAAAACCTCATAGTAACTGCAAACCAAAAACCTATAATAGATATACACACAAAAAAGAAAAAGGAATCCAAACATAACACTAAAGGTAGTTATCAAATCACAACAGAAGAGAACAAAAGAAGAAAAGGGAATAAAAGACCTACAAAAACAAATCCAAAACAATTAACAAAATGGCAATAAGAACATACATATCGATAATTACCTTAAATGTAAATGGATTAAATGCTTCAACCAAAAGACACAGACTGGCTGAATGGATACAAAAACAAGACCTGTATATATGCTGCCTACAAGAGACTCACTTCAGATCTAGAGACACATACAGACTGAAGGCAAGGGGATAGAAAAAGGTGTTCCACGCAAATGGAAATCAAAAGAAAGCCAAAGTAGCAATACTCATATCAGACAAAATAGACTTTAAAATAAAGACTGTTACAGGAGACAAAGAAGGACACCACATAATGATCAAGGGATCAATCCAAGAAGAGGATATAACAATTGTATACATATATGCACCCAACATAGGAGCACCTCAATATACAAGGAAAATATTAACAGACATAAAAGGAGAAATTGACAGTAGCACAATAATAGTAGGGGACTTTAACACCCCACTCACATCAATGCATGGATCATCCAGACAGAATATCAATAAGTAAACACAGGTCTTAAATAACACATCAGACCAAATGAACTTGATACTTGTAGAGCATTCCATCTGAAAGCGGCAGAATACACATTATTTTCAAGTGCACATGGAACATTCTCCAGGATAGATTACATGCCAGGCCACAAAACAAGCCTTGGTAAATTTAAGAAAACTGAAATCATATCAAGCATCTTTTTCAACCACAACACTATGAGATTAGGAATCAGCTACAAAAAAAAAAAAAAAACTGCAAAAAACACAAACATGTGGAGGCTAAACAATATGCTACTAAACAACCAATGCATCACTGAAGAAATCAAAGATGAAATTAAAATATACCTAGAGACAAATGAAAATGAAAACATGATGATCCAAAACCTATGGGACGCAGCAAAAGCAGTTCTAAGAAGGAAGTTTATAGCGGTAGAAGCTTACCTCAGGAAACAAGAAAAATCTCAAACAACCTAACCTGACACCTAAAACAGGTTAGAGAAAGAGGAACAAACAAAACCCCAAGTTAGTAGAAGGAAAGAAATCATTAAGGTCAGAGCAGAAATAAAATAGAGACTAAAGAAACAATAGAAATAAATGAAACTAAGAGCTGGTTCTTTGAAAAACAAAATTGATAAACCTTTAGCCAAACTCATCAAGAAAAAAAGGGAGAGGGCCCAAATCAATAAAATCAGAAGTGAAAAAACAGAAGCTAAAACCAACACCACAGAAATACAAAGGATCATAAGAAACTACTATGAGCAACTATACGGCAATAAAATGAACAGCCTAGAAGAAATGGAAAAATTCTTAGAAAGGTACTATCTCCCAAGACTGAACCAGGAAGAAATAGAAACTATGGACAGACCAATTACCAGTACTGAAATTGAATCAGTAATTTAAAAACTCCCCACAAACAAAAGACCAGGACCAGATGGCATACCAGATGAATTCTACCAAACATTTAGACAAGAGTTAACAGCTATCCTTCTCAAACTATTCCAAAAAAGTGCAGAGGAAGGAACGCTTCCAAACTCATTCCATGAGGCCACTATCACCCAGATACCAAAACAGAACAAAGGTATCAAAAAATAAGAAAATTACAGGTCAATATCACTGATGAACATAGATGCAAAAATCCTCAACAAAATACTAGCCAACTGACTCCAACAATATATTGTAAGGATCACACACCATGATCAAGTGGGATTTATCCCAGGGATGCAAGGATTTTTCAATATCTGCAAATCAATGTGATACGCCACATTAACAAATTGAAGAATAAAAACCATACAATCATCTCAATAGATACAGAAAAAGCTTCTGATTAAAGTCAACATCAATTTATGATAAAAACTCTCCAGAAACTGGGCATAGAAGAAACATACCTTAATATAATAAAGCCCATAGATGACAAACTCACAGCTAAACATCTTACTCAACAGTAAGAAGCTGAAAGCATTCCCTCTAATATCAGACAAGGATGTCCACTCTCACCACTTTTACTCCACATAGTTTTGGCAATCCAAGCCACAGCAATCAGAGAAGAAAAAGAAATAAAAGGAATCCAAATCGGAAAGAAAGAAGTAAAACGGTCACTGCTTGCAGATGACACAATACTATACATAGAAAATCCTAAAGATGCCACCAGAAAACTACTAAAGCTCATCAGTGAATATGGTAAAGTTGCAGGATACAAGATTAATATACAGAAATCAGTTGCATTTCTATACACTAACAATGAACTATCAGAAAGAGAAAGTAAGGAAACAATCCCACTTACTATCACATCAAAAAGAATAAAAAATATCTAGGAATCAACCTACCTAAGGAGGCAAAAGACCTGTACTCCAAAAACTATAAGACACTGATGAAAGAAACTGAAGATGACACAAACAGATGGAAAGATATGCCATGTTCTTGGATTGGAAGAATTAATATTGCTAAAGAGACCATACTACCCAAGGCAATCTACAGATTCAATGCAATCCCTATCAAATTACCAATGGCATTTTTCACAAAACTAAAACAAACATTTTTACAATTTGTATGGAAACACAAAAGACTACAAATAGCCAAAGCAATCTTGAGAAAGAAAAACAAATCTGGAGGAATCAGGCTCCCTGACTTCAGACTATACTACAAAGCTACAGTCATCAAAACAGCATGGCACTGGCACAAAAACAGATGCATAGATCAATGGAACAGGATAGAAAGCCCAGAAATAAACCCATGCACTTATGATCAATTAATCTACGACAAAGCAGGCAAGAATATACAGTGGAGAAAAGACAGTCTCTTCAATAAATGGTGTTGGGAAAATTGGACAGCTACATGTAAAAGAATGAAATCAGAATGTTCTCTAACACCATATCCAAAAATAAACTCAAAATGGATTAAAGACCTAAATGTAAGACCAGATACAATAAAACTCCCAGCAGAAAACATTGGCAGAACACTCCTTGACATAAATTGAGGCTCTGTAAGACCTTCAAGGTACCTTTTGAATAACCCATGGCCTCTGACTTGTCTTCTGAACCAGACCATGAAAAAAAAGAAATTCTAGTCATTTTGATTTTGTATGGAAATTTTACACAGAGCTCATTTTTTTTTACTATCATTCTTTGAAATTGGTAAATATTAGTTCATCAGAAGAAGCACCATTCCTTGATCAGTGCAGCTGAGTAGAAATTTTTCATTTCCACGGAAAACATGACGCACAATTGCTTCTGTCTCATAAAACAACTGCTAGGCCTTCCCTGGTGGCACAGTGGTTGAGAGTCCGCCTGCCGATGCAGGGGATACGGGTTCGTGCCCCGGTCCGGGAAGATCCCACATGCTGCGGAGCGGCTAGGCCCATGAGCCATGGCCGCTGAGCCTGCCCGTCCGGAGCCTGTGCTCCGCAAAGGGAGAGGCCACAACAGTGAGAGGCCCGAGTACAGCAAAACAAAAACAAAAAACAAAAAACAACTGCTATCCATGGGTCTGCTGGCCAGAGAGCTTCTGAACAACAGCTTACCTGCCCCCGTGGTTGTCACTTCTGGCTTGGCTGGAGGAACAAAGGGAGGCCAGTGTGATGGATGTTTCTGAACTAATTCAAACATCCTTAAATTTTCCTTTAGAATTTCCTGAGGAGACATAGAAACAGTTGTAAACACTGCAGAGTCACTACATATCTGCCCAGTTGGCAGTATATGACTCCAAACACTAAGAGAGTGCCCTGGTTGTTGAAAGGTGAAAGCAAAGGCTTAGCAAATACACCCATCCTCTACTTGACCCGTCTGAAGACCCAGCTCTCTTCAATTCTAGATACTGTTGGCCAGGAAGGAAGGACACTGGAGGGAGGATCTGATGGAAGGCCAGTACTCACTGCCCATGCTCCATCATGAGGTCTTACGCCAGCTGCATGGGACCAACTCAATTTAGGGGTGAGATGTTCCTCAAGTGTTGGCTCCAAAGAAATGTTGGTTAGTCAAGTTAAATCTGCCCCCAAAGAATATTGGTACATATTGGCATGGTTTCAGTTTCAATCCAAGATGTATGATATATGTCCTAATTTAAATAGCATAGTCTTATCAGAAAATTTTCTTTCTAACGTTAAATGTGATATACAGTTTTGCGGCATTCTGAAATGTAAGTAATGCCTTTAGAAAATAATTCTCCATTATGTCTCAGCCAATTATTAACTGCGGTTTCAGATTCAGCTGGGGACTTTAGTACTAATTATTTGTTCACCTGCGAAGAAAAATCTTCCCTCCTTACACTTACAAGAGGCTCTGAGATCCCATCTCTCCAACCCCTGTGTTTTGCAGATAAGAGAACATGATGTCTCCCGCCACTCCATCCAGGGCTCTTTAAACTACTCCCTATGATTTCCCCTCATTCTTTCAATAAGAGTTGATCAATATCTTCTACATAATTGGCATGTGTTAGAAGCAAAGGATGAGGAAGGCAGATACAAAAGTTGTGAGCCAGCAAAACGATAAATACCCTCTGACATAAAATGCCAAAAAGAAAGAATAACTTGCTTTCGTATTTACACAGATTTCTGCAAACTGTGTCTGCTTTAAGTGGCAGTGTGCCTATATTTTACATAAATAAGACAGTTAATAGAAAGGCAAGCCCCTTAAACCATAATGGAACACAGTAAACTGTAAATGGACACGAAACAAATAAAAAAGTAGTTTGGCTTTTTCAACCATCTCACTGTTACAAAGAGAGTAAGGAAGAATTTAGGCTGAGCTATATGAAATTGGCATTTTTAAGTTAAAATGGTAGAATATTAGTTGAATATTTCATTGACTCACGGGCTCAATGAGATGGAACATTCAGTAGTTAAAAATATCGCTCACCTGACACACTAAGCATATTGCAAACCAAAGTTTTCCTTCAGTTTCCCCAAAGTTATGTACAGTTCCCCACATCCTAGTTTCTTTCTTTTGCAATAAAGTCATATCAGGCTGGATTTATGTTACTATGAAAAACTGTCTTGAAAAGGAATTATATTGAATAACACTTGTTTTTTAAGACTAAGAAAAACATACATCTTTACCTTCTGAACAAGGCTACACCAGCTATCAAAGTCTTTTTCTTCTTTGCAGAAAAATCCCTTGGGGGAAAGCAAAAGAAGACAACTTAGAACTGGTCAGGGGCACCCAGGCAGGCCCTTTGTATTGCAAGATGGAGCCGTTGGCCCGGAGTTGTGAAGTAGGATGTGGGCCACTTCCTTTGGATGTGTCCTCCCAGCAACAAGGAGGAAGGGTGTCTGAGCTTATCTCTCTCCTAGATCAGTGCCTCACTTGGACACAGACATCTGCTCATTCATCTTCATATTTTCTCTCTCTCTCTGCCTCTTTCTCTTATTCTGTCCCTTTCCCTTTTACCCTGTCCCTTTCCCTCCCTGATCCTCTCCCTTCACACTGTGAGATACAGTAACTTGAAAACCAATCTCCAAAGCACAGGGTTACTTCCATTACATTCAGTGCACAAATATACCTACGTATAAAAAACAATCCATTAAAATCAGCAAACAAAAGCCAAATAGTACTTTTAGCTAGAGGCATTACTTAACAAGGTGGCTTTGACCTTAAGGAAATTATCTTTTAGAATAAAGAGGTGATGGTGTGATGAATTGAGAGATTGGCATTGATATATATATACATTAATGTGTATAAAATGGATAACTAATGAGAACCCGCTGTATAAAAAATCAAATCAAATCAAATTCAAAAAAAAAAGTCAGGGACTTCCCTGGTGGTAAAAAGAAAAAAAAAAAGAACCATCAGCCTCCTTCCCCATCCTCAGAACCATCCTACAGCACTAAAAGAACGGTCCAAAACAAGAGGATGACTCTGTCAGCTCTCCATCACTGGCCCTCCGACAATCGGGTTAAACTGGTAGAGAGGATGCAGACAGGCCTCAGAACAACTGGCTACTTCCCAGGCAGCTGTCCCTTCCATGTGTGGACGGCAGTCATATTTCCAGCTGGGGAAAGCCTGCAGCTTCCTGGATTGTGTGCCCAGAGGAATGGACATTGTCCACCCAGGAGGTCTTGCCTCCTTATTCCTCCTTCCCTATGTCTCACCTTATTCCCGGTGCCCGGATGGCAATATTTAGAGGGCAAGAAGGAAAAGGGGGAAAGATGGTAACACTGGTCGTGACTAACATTTCTAGAATGCTTACAACATGCCAGGCACTGTGCTATGTGCCTTACACATAGTGTACTCATATAGCCATGCAAGGAAGGAACTACCGTTTTGCCCACTGGAGGGATAAGAAGGCCGAAGCTCAGAAAAGTTAAGGGACTCCCCCTGAGTCCGTGGCTGGTAAGCGGCTTTGATCCTAACTCGCCTTCAGGGCCCATTCCTTCCCCACTACACCACAGGACACTACCTCTCATGGGGGTGGGGAGCGAACATTCTTTTGCCGCCCTACCTAACAACCTGGATAACTTCCAGGGAGCCAAACAGTGATAGGGCAGTGTTGTGTCTCTTGGGCCACCCAACCTTCAGATACCCACCAGTGCTACGGAAGGATCCAAGTTCAGGATGTTCATTCGCTGTGGAGGTTGCAGACAATGGAAAGTCTGGTCGTCAACCGTTCCGTTCTCCTCAGTGTCAACAAAGTTCTGGGTTGTGTGAGGGTCCAGGAAAATGAGCTCATCGCCTGTTTTGAATGAGACATGCTTAACCTTCGAAGAACCACCGGCCCTGGCCGCACTGCTGTCCTTGGGATGAGGCGCTCTGGTTGTCCTAACCCCTCCCTTGGTGACAATGAGAATGAGATGACAGAAAGCCTGAAGGAGGGTGACCATGCTTGAAGGAAGCCACCCACACCCAAAGCCAATCATTCAATGTGAAGACTTGCCCTAGCATTTATATCTCCTCAAAGCCCAAGTCCAAAAGTGGAAAGGCACAGGTTTGCGGAAAGGGGGGAATGAGCGACCACAGATGACATGGCGGGCTCGGTGAGCAGCAGTAGCCATGAGTCCAGGTGCCATCAGGGAGCTTCCTGACCCTTTCAACACTGGAAAGCCTCTTGCTCTAGACCACTGGTTCTTAGACCTATGGTCAAAGAGCACATCTGGGAAGGAAAAAGGCCTTGGCCTCCAAAAGAAATAGGAATGCTGACTCTGCCATGGATGAGATACCTGGGAGCTGACTTCTGGTCTTGATTCGCTAGCAAGTTAGTCATTGTTAGCAAGTCAGTAATTCCTGTCAGAAAGCACTGCCTTGGTCACAGTAATATCAGTACACATACGCCTTGCTGGGAAAACTCACTTTGAGATTGGTCGACCGTTACAAATTGGAGAAAAATGCTGCTTCATTAAATTGAAAAAGTCTAGCCCAATAATGATCTGGGGGGAGCTTGGGATAATAAAATCTCTACTTTTATCTAATGTTCAAAGGGTTGAGAGTCCCTCTAATGCTCATCAGCAGCATACCGAGTAGGCTGATGTACCTAGAGGGGTCACCCCAACCTCGCTGTCCAGGCCTGAGAACCATCTGGGCCTCTGTGTTCTAGACTGGGCTAAGCAAGCAAAGAGAAAGATCTGCCTGAGGCAGGAGGATGGGGTGGGAAGGGACACCCCGAAGACACTCTCTGGAATGGCATCCAGGATTCTTCTGGGTACATCTAAGTGCTTCTGTTGGCAAAGAGGGTTTCTGATGTCTGATGCCAAGTTTAACTTATCTCTGTCACAGACCTAGGACAAACCACTGGGTCTGTTCCAGTTACCTCACAGGGTATTATCAGAATGAGAAGATCTCACCTCTGTGAACTGCTTAAAACACAGTACAAACGCAAGGTAGTCATAGATGTACCTTGCTGAGACTCAAAAGGATTTTCCTACAAATATATGTTTAAGAGCATATGGAAATCAATGCCCCCATATGGCTTGCTTTAGGAAAGTCAAGGTACATATTCCCCCAGACCACAGGAGGGTGAGACCAGTTATATCAAAAAAGCCTCAAGGCTCAATGAAGAGCAACAACCAGGATGTTTAGAGGAAAGCCTACCTAAGACCATAGAAAGGGAAGGGGAGAAGGAAGCTGTGCACGAGAAAATGCGACTCCAAAGCAGGATTAGGACCGAGCGTTCTGCCAGTTTTGAGTTAAGGTACTGGGAATAATAGCAGTGTCCTCTCTGACTCTGGCCCTTTCCCATGGGTGTGTGTGTGTGTGTGTGTGTGTGTGTGTGTGTGTGTGTGTGTGTGTGTGTGTGTGTGTGTGTGTGTGTGTCTAGTGGAACTTTGTGGGCTGCTCTATTTCTGAGAGTGCTTAAAAGAGATACAGTAGATCAAAAAAGTCCTAGAGAGGGCTTGCCTGGTGGCGCAGTGGTTGAGAGTCCGCCTGCCGATGCAGAGGACACGGGTTCGTGCCCTGGTCCGGGAGGATCCCACGTGCCGCGGAGCAGCTGGGCCCATGAGCCATGGCCGCTGAGCCTGCACGTCCGGAGCCTGTGCTCCACAACGGGAGAGGCCACAACAGTGAGAGGCCCGCGTACCACACACACAAAAAAAGTCCTAGAAATGATATGGGGACTAAATCAAGGTCTCTAATGAGGCCCAAGAAGAAGTGGCAGGCAGGTCCACCATCTGCAGACACTGGGCTCATGCGACGGATCTCCAGGTGGCACCCTCCACCAAAGCACAGGGGACAAACATTCTAAGCAGAAAAAAATCTCCCAGCCAGTCTCTCACCCTGGCCATAGTCTTGTGCACCAGGAGCTTCTCCCAGCTTCCCACCGGGCAAGAGGGCACTCGGGAAGCAATGTGGTGTGGTGGGCAGGGACGGCCAAACTGGGATCGAATCCTGGCTTTGCTACTTTTGAGCTCAGTAACCTTGAGTAAACAACCCCTCTAAGTCTTCCGCTAGGCATAAATGGAAATAATGATCTCTACCTCACAGGGGTGTTGTGCTAACTCTATCCATCAATCAATCTATCTAAAGCTATACATCTCTACATAACTATCGATATTAATCTGTATCTCTCTATACATGTATATATGTTTTAATATATAATTGTATATTATATAATATAAATTATATATTTATATATGATATAGGAAACAATACATTATAATGACAAGTAATATAAATATATTTTTTTATACATGGAGAGAGAGAGAGAGAAAGAGGGGGAGAGAGATTGAGAGAGAACCCTCTGCAGAGTCCCTTGTTCAGAAAATGGCAGTTCTCATCTGTCCCCTCCCTTCAGACATTCTGCCGATCCAGAGTCTCCCTACCTGAGCCTAATACAGTAAGGGGGTAAGTCAGAAAATGGGAGTTGAGGGGAGTTTGGAGCCTCAAGTGAAGGTTAAACAAAGGATTTATGGACATTAGCGGGCAAATGGGCACTATGTAAACCTCTGTCTTGGGAACTGAGGATGGCCCACACCTCTTTCAAAAGTAGTCCAACTCCACCAATGTCTCCCCGACCCAGTGGCCTCAGGAAACAGGAGGGCTATGCCAGCTTGGCAAATTCTCTCTGGGTAACTTGGGATAAAGGAGGCCAGGGTGCCCAGGATTCACTGAGATCCCTCCAAAATTATTTTCCAGTGTTTCCACCTTTTCCTCAAGAACGGACAATAGGAAATATATTTTTGCTACATTTTCTTTGACAGGAACCCAAAAGCTTAGAAACAGAGAACATCTAAATTTATAACACTCTAAATACTGGGGTTTATACTTAGAAAAAGAAAAGCCTCCACTTTCCAAATGTTCCATCAAGCTGTAGTTCTTAGGATCGACCAGTAGATGGCAGCATTCGAGAGAGCCCCAGCAACTGTGGAGAAACCCTACCTTAAAGAGAGAAAGAGCGAGCAGAGGAAAGAGGCGCTGGGGTCAGGCTGGCTCTTTTTGCTGAGTGCTTTCCTGTGAGGGGACAACATGGTGAGCTGGGGGTCAGCCCTATCTTCCATAAAGGGAACCTGAGACTGAAAGAGCTGACACTCTTTTCCTGCTGGCACACAGCTAGCCAGTGGGAGACTGGCCACATACAGGGCTGGGTCTGTTTCCACCCGCCCCACCTCCATGAATCTCCGAGGAGGAGATGAGTGGGAAGGTGACCAAGCCCATCTCACTCAGTCCTCTGCACATGCCTCAGGCCATTCCCCACGCCTGCTCTGGCTCTCCCTTGCACTCTAAGCTCATAGCTTCCTCAAAGCCCACTCCTGCGAGAGGTGTCCCGTATCCCACTTCCCTCACCGCGTCACTCCCTTACTCTGCGGCACTAAGCAGGTGTCTAGGCCCTTGGTACTCAAAGTGTGGCACCAGCAGCACTGGCACTACCTAGTTAGAAATGCAGGCTCTCAGGCTCCACCCCAGACCTGCTGAAACCACATTATAATAGGCTCTCAAGGTGATTCATGTGCACATTAAAGTTTGACCACCCCAGACCTGCTGAACCCACATTATAATAGGCTCTCAAGGTGATTCATGTGCACATTAAAGTTTGAGAAGCACCGGGCTAGCTCCCCTCGTGTGCCAAGGGCCTTAAATGTCTCTGGTCACAGCTAGTGAGTAAGGTGGCTGGGTTTCCAGAGGCATCTACTGAGGCAGGTAATGCCGGGCTGCTCATCAGGATCCACATTAGGAGGTTAGTCGTTTTAAGGCTTAGCCTCCAGTATCAGGAAAGGGATACCTCTGTCTTCACCTCCTCTTATTCCCACCAGAGTCAGGGCTCTGAACAATAAGCTAGCAGCCCAAGCTACATGAGCCTGGGAAGCCAGAGGACGGTTCCTAGCCTGAACGCCCGAGCCCCAGTAAGAGGGGTATCGGCAAGGCCAGGGGAGTGAAGCCCTGCCACCCTGGGCGCCACAGGAAAGAGAGACAGGTGCTGAAGCAATGCTATGACCTTGGGGCCGTCCAGTGGGAAAGCAGCCATGGAACCATCTTGTCAAGAGGCAATGAAGCAGAGGCACTGAAGGGGGATCTGCTCTCTGTCAGGCACAGGTAAACGTTACTCTCCAGGCCAGAGACAAGATGAGCTGCCCAGAGGCCACAGCATCTCCAGGCTAGGTGAGGGCCCCCTAAAACTGGAATTGCCTGGTCTCCCGTGCAGACCTTCTGCCCACCCTCCCCTAGCCCATGATGACTTACTTGTGATTCCTCTTTTCTTACCTAAGAATCCTATGAAATAATAGGCGTTATTTGGTTTTCCTCCTAATGCCCCTAAAGACTGTGGCATCTTAAAACACTCCTGGAGGGAAAG